TAACAAGAACTCCCCTCTGAGAAAGCCATGCTGACTCTCCCTAATTAACCCATGCCTTCAAGTGGATATTAATTCTCTCCTTCAGAATTTTCTCCAATAGATTCCCTACCACTAATATGAGGTTCGCCAGTCTGTAATTTCCTGGTTTATCTCTACCAACTCTTCTTAAAAAGTGGAAGGCCATTAGCTAATCTCCAGTCCTCTGGCACATTCCCCATGGCCAGAGAATTATTAAAAATTTGTGTCAGAGCCCCTGAAATTCTCTGCCTCACCTCCCACAACAATTCGTCCAGGCCGGGGAATTTGTCAGTTTTTAAACCTGACAGAGCATCCAATACATCCCCATTTCCTATGTCAAACTGGGCAAGTTCCTCACAGTCCCTTTTCCTAAAATTCTCTATCTATTTTCTCCTTTTCCAGAGTGAAGACTGAAAAGAAATATCCATTTAACACCTTCCAATATCCTGCAGCTTCACACACAGGTTGTCCCCTTGATCCCTAATGGGCCCTACTCTTTCCCTGGTTAACCTCTTCCATTTAATGTATTTGTAAAATATCTTAGGATTCTCCCTAATCCTGTTCCAATGTCCTTTTTCATGTCCCCTCTTCTACCTGCTTTCATAAATTCCCTCTTGCACTTCCCAATTCCTTTAGGGACACAGCTGAATTGCTCCCTTTGTGAGGTGCGGTGGAAGCAGAGGGATGAGGTTGCTGTGGGACAGGGGAACGGATGTGCCTGTGATAATAACTTGCAGTACAGACACCTACACCAATCTCACTAAGAAAGCACTTTTCATTCTAAGCAAAGTAATAAACTGTGACAGACATAATGGGAATGTTTGATCGAATATTGGAACATTTGAACTTGCTGTTTGATGCAGGCAAGAGCAATCAACTCTCTATATTTAACTATGCAAAACTTAGTCTAAGAACTGGAAGAAGAAAGGGCTTACAAATGGATGCTAATTGGTATCTTCACGCTAACCCTGATGGTACTAATCGCCTTCGTGCTCTACCAACTGAAACTTCACCAGAGAATCCAACAACAGACAGAAAGAAATTCAAGGCAGAAAATAGACGATCTGTGAAGAAAGGCAGATATGCTCCAGGAACAGAAAGCAAAACAAAACGCAAAGATTTCTGAACTAGAAAGAGAATTGGATGCACTGCAGTCTTTCAGACCACACTATGAAAAGCTTGAAGAGAAAAGAAGAAAAAAAGAAATAGACATAAAAGTACTCAAACATGAAGTAAAACTGAAACAAAAGCAGATTAAAAATCTTGAACAGCTGGTTCTACAATACAACTTCATGACATCTGGACAAACCAGTCAGATACAGACCCATCAACAGGCAAAGAGCCAGGAGAAGCCAAAATCTCAAATCAGAAAAAAGTCCTCAATAAAATTGATGCCCAAATCTAACTACTAGCAAAGAATATTCTAAAGAAAGCCTCCTCTCACCATCGGGAGTACGCTTCCTCGTCTATAATTCCCAGGTTTTTCTCTGCAGTCCTTCTTGAATAAGGGCACAACATCCACTACCCTGCAGTCTTCAGGGACCTCACCTGTGGCTAACGATGATGCAAATATATCAGCCAGAGCCCCCATAATCTCTTCCCTAACTTCTTGCAGGGTTCTTGGATATATATGGACCAGGAGATTTATCCACCTTCATACATTCTAATACTTCCAACACATCCTCTACTGTGATATGAACTGTCCTTAAGATATCATCACTAATTTCCCCAAGTTCCTGAGTCTTCACGTCTTTCTCCATGGTAAACACAGAGGAGAAATATTCATTGAGGACCTCGCCCATCTCCTGCAGTTCCATACACACATGTCCACTTTGGTCCTTCAGATGTCCTATTCTCTCTCTAGTTATTCTTTTTCCTTTAATATACTTAAAGAATCACTTTGGATTCACCTTAACCTTCTTCATTTTTTGAAGAAGGGTCCCGACCTGAAACGTCAGCTTTCCTGCTCCTCTGATGCTGCCTGGCCTGCTGTGTTCCGTCGGCTCCACACTGTGTTATCTCTGACTCCAGCATCGACAGTTCTTACTATCTCTTCTCAGCCAAACCTATCCCTTTTCACCCTCCTGATTTCCTTCTTCAGTAAACTCCTGTATCCCCTATATACCTCCAAAGATTCCCTTGATCCCAGCTGCCTGTACCTGAGCCATGCCTCCTCCTTTTTTCTGGACAAAGCTTCAATGTTTCTTGTCATCCAGGGTTCCCTACTCCTGCCAACTTTGACCTTCACCCTCACAGGAACATACAGACCTTGAGCTCTAGCTATCACATTTTTAAAGGCCTCTCACTTGCCAGAGGTCCCTTTACCTGCAAACAAACTGCTCCTATCAACCCCTGCAAGCTCCTGTCTAATTCCATCAAAATTTACCTTGGCCCAATTTAGAACTTGGTTCCAAGGGGTGGCTCAGTGGTTAGCACTGCTGCCTCACAGCGCCAGGGGCCTGGGTTTAATTCCAGCCCTCAGACAATTGTCCGTGTGGAGTTTGAACATTCTCCCCGTGTCTGTGTGGGTTCCCTCTGGGTGCTCCAGTTTTTTTTTTCCCCTTTATTCATACACAGGATGAGGGCATCACTTTTAGGCATCTCAGTCATCCCACATCGCCCATCCCTAATTGCCCACAGGGCAGTTGAGAGTCAACCACATTGCTGTGGGTCTGGAGTCACATGTAGGCCAGACCAGTTGTCAGAGGGACCAAAATCCCTGGATTTTTAACAGAACTTTTAAAACAAAAAGGCAGCTGGGCTGTGCTCTGGAATACACAGTCATGGGGATAGCTATCTGGAACCATGGTTCAGTCATAACCCCTACTCATGCCTTAGCCCTAAAAGGTACCATGAACCAGACCGAAGGCAACAACTTCAGACATCTTGGACTCTTCAGAGGTACTAAAGCATTCAACTTCAATTAATATTCATTCGCAGAAATACTAGACATTCCACTGAATCAAAACACATTTACACCTACTCTAAACTATCAGGAAACTGATTCACCACAATGGGGACAACAGAAACACAATGGAGAACACAGTTTTGAGAGGTGATAACGGAGCACACAGTCTGTATACCTGCTGGCCCTGATCTGGGAGAGAGAGAGAGCCGTCCCTGCAGCTACCAACAGAAGAGGGATCCCAAACAGCTGCTCTCCCCAAGAACTATCTGCACAGCCATCTCCCTGAAACCTAACAACACAGGGCTGTTCCCTATCAGGGGAACCAACGGCAACCAACCGCGACCAGCAGATCGACAGTCTCTGAAAACCACCGACACGACTGACAAGGCCTCAGGCACATCCTGAGGTGAAAACTGGCTCAAAATCCACCACAAAGTAAGAAAACCCAAGTCCTCAAACCAGGCTGAACACCATCATAAGTCTTCAGTGAAGCACTGGCTATGGCAAGAGGGAACGGCCAGCTGTATTTCAAAATCATGTTTATCCCCAGTGGTGACCCACAATATCCAACTGAGCTAGCAGGGAGGGGAAGGTGGGTTGGTGACAGTGCGGGGAACCCCAAGGTCAGCAAGTCTGATTAAAATGTCTCTGTTCGGAACTACTGTTTAGTTTCTAATAGTAATTAGCCTGTGTTAAGTTAGTAAACTGACACTATCAGTTAACTGTTTTAATTTGCCTTTTTTAATCTCGTGTACTTCATTCATCTTTATTTCCCTGTTTATTACTTTTATCCTTTTTATTTCTTGTAATATACTCATCTTTACATGTAATAAACACAGAGATTCTTTGCCCTGAAACACCTGTCTATTGCCTTCTTCATTTCACACTCCTAAATTAAGTCCAGTGTCAGAACCAGGGATCTGGAGGTGATTCGAATCACCTAAAAATCAGCAGATTACTGATCGCAAACCAGAATCCCTGCACAGGTAAGGATGGTAGTTTCCTTCCCTAAAAGGGACACTAGTGGCCCAGATAGGTTTTTCCCAACAATTGGCAATGTATTCATGGCTATCAGTAGATTCTTAATTCCAGTTTTTTTTTTAATTGAATTCAAATTCCACCATCTGCAGTAGCAGGATTCAAACCCACAGTGTTACCTCGGTCTCTGGATTAACAGTCCAGTGTTAATACCTCGAGGCCATTGCATGTGGTTCCCTCCCACAGTCCAAAGATCTGCAAATTATGTGGATTGGCTAAGCTAAATTGTCCAGTGATCAAGGGATGTGTCAGTTAGGTGTGTTAACTATGGGAAGCACAGGAATAAGGTTAGAGAATGGGTCTGGGTGGGATGGTCTTCAGAAGGTCTGTGTGGACTTGTTGGGCCGAATGGACTGTTTCCACAGTGTGGAGATTCTATGAGTAGCATGGCAGGGAGTGGTTCTAATTAAAAGCAATATACAAACCCAGTCACAGTAAAACCCATGGAATGTACAGAATATCCCATTAGTGAGGGTGCTCAGGATAATGTTGAAAACTGTTTTGCACAAAATTTGTCTTCCAGTTCCACCATCCATGATAAAGCTCAATGCTTAAACACGGGGATATAACTGATGGACCCCAACATTATTAACCTTCTCCTACATAAATACTAATCTCCATTTGCAATCTGCAACAGAACAGTATTCTGGTATTCAGATGCAAGTTTAATATCTTCATTTGTTTCTGTTTAAAGTGGAAGTGTCAGGCTTGGGACCATATTTTGCCTACCCCTAATTACCCCTTAAGAGGGTAGTGGTAGTGGAGTTACCTTCTTCAACCACGTGGATTTGGGCTGTAGATAGACCCACAATGCCTTTAGGGACGGAATTCCAGGATTTTGACCTAGCGACAGTGAAAGAATGGTGATACGTTTCCAAATCTGGATGGAGTGTAGCTTGGAGGGGTATTTGGGGTGGTGTTTTTATGTATGTGTGTACTATTTTAATGAATGCCTTTTGGAAATACCGGTATGTCTACTGGCTTCCCTTGATCTACTCTACTTGTTAAATCCTCAAAAACTTAATTTATCAAACAGTTCTCAGTAAATAACAGATTTCCTTTATATCCATTCTAGTATTTTTCAAACAACAATTTTAGACTGATTTGTACTTCCCTGTTTTCTCTCTCCCTCACTGAAATATGATAGTTAGATTTGCCAACATCCAATCTGCTGAGACCATTCCCAAGTCTAAGGAAGCTAGCATAATTGTAGCAACCCTGCAGTTCTTTCAGAATCTGAGGGTATGACCCACCAGATGTTGGTACCTTAATTATTAGTGAAATCTTTTTTCTGTTGACTGTCATTAGGCTACAAATAAAGTAATAAATTTGGTCTTTAACACAAGAAAATCTCGTGATTGGCTCCTTATTATTGACAGTAAAAATACTTCACCACATTTTAAATCAGAGAGTAGCAGCCTCATGCTGAAAAGAATTTAAACACATACTCTGAGTGGACCAGCTCCCCATGTGGTCAATCTCATTTTTCGTTGGAAAATGATGATAATTTCCTTAATTGGGTTTGGTTGGTGCAGTTAAATTTCTATCCAATGGTAGATATGGGATGCTGATCAAGTGAGATACAGCAACAGGAATACTGTGCAGAGGCAATGGGTAAATTCTCTCTTCTGGGAGATGTGATTATCCTACATTTAATGTAGCAAGAATAGCTGAGCCAAACATCAGCCCAAGCCTGGATATTGTTCAGGTCTCACTGCATTTGGACATGGACTGTTTCCGTGTCTGAGGAGTTGTGAATGGTGCTGAACATTACACAAACATTAGCAACCATCCCCATTTCTGACCTTATGATGGAGGGAAGGTCATTGATGAAGCAGCTGGAACCTAAGACAGGGTTCAAATACAGGAGCAGGGATGGCTTGCTGCAATTAAACAGGGTCTTGGTGAGACTATACACCTGGAGTATTGTGCACAGTTTTGGTCTCCTAATCTGAGGAAGGATGTTCTGGCTATACAGGGAGTTCAGCAAAGGTTTACCAGACTGATTCCTGGGATGGCATGGCTGAAAAAATGAGGGGGTAATCTCACAGACACCTAAAAATTCTAACAGGACAAGATGGGTTAGATGTGGGAAGGACGCTCCCAATGATGGGGGAGCTCCATAAATGGGATCGCAGTCTAAAGATAAGGGGTAAACCATTTAGGAGAATTTTTTTCACCCAAAGCATTTCAGAAACAGTGACCGTAATTCTGTAAGTTTTAAGTTACTTATAGATAAGAGTAGTCCTCGGGTGAAAGTACTAAATTGGGGGAAGGCTAGCTACCACAATATTAGGCAAGAACTGGGGGAATATAGATTGGCAGGGGCAGCTGTTTGGAGGGTAAATCCACATCTGGCATGTGGGAATCTTTTAAGGCTAGTTGATTAGAGTTCAGGACCAACATACTCCTGTGAAAATGAAGGATAAAGATAACAGGGTCGGGAACCTTGGATGGCTACAGATACTAGACCTTAGTCAAAAAGAGAAAGGAAGCATAAAGGTTCAGTAAATGAAGACAGAGACCTCGGAGAATATGAAGAAAGCAGGAAGGAATTCAAACAAGGTATTAGAAGGACTAAAAAAGGCAAGAAAATATCCTTGGTAAATAGGAATATTCCAAGGCATTTTTTATATCTGACCAAGAAGGTATCCAGGGAAAGAGTAGGTCCATTCAAGGACAAAGCAGAGAATTTACGTGTTGAGCTGGAGGAAGTGGGTAAGATCCTTATCAAATACTTTGCAGTGGTATTCAGAAAGGAGAAGGACAAGGTGGATGGTGAATCTTGGGAGGGCTACGTTAATATTCTATGGTATGTTGATACAAAGGAAAGTGGTGTTGGGTGTTTTGAAAGCATTATGGCAGACAAAGTCCCAGGAATTGATACGATCTATCTCAGAATGCTGAGGGAGGAAATTGCTGGAACTTTGTACAAAATCTTCGTATCCTTTATAGTCACAGGAGAGGTCCCAGAAGACTGGAGAATAGTCAATGCTGTTCCTTTGTTTAAGGAGGGAAACAGGGGTAATCTAAGAAACTATAGGTCAGGGAGCCTTATGTCAGTGGTAGGGAAATTATTGTAGAAGATTTTTAAGTATAGGATTTACTCATATTTGGAAAAAAAATTGACTTATTAGCAATAGGCAGTATGGAAAGTCATATCTAACAAACTTAAAAGATTGAGTTTTTTGAGGAAGTGACAAAGATGATTGTTGAAGGCATGGCAGTGGATGCTGTCTATATGAACTAAAGCAAAAAATGGACAAGGTCCCTCATTGTAGGAGCCTGCCAAGGTGAAGTTGCATGGCATCTGCAGTGAGCTGGTAAGACAGATACAGAACTGGCTTGGTCATGGAAGATAGAGAGTAGCAATGAACTTGAGACCTATGACCAGTGGTGTTCTGCAGGGATCAGTACCGAGAGCCCTATCGTTTATAATATATGGGATTGGAGGAGAACGTTGGTGGCCTGATTAGTCAGTTTGCAGATGACACAAAGATTGAGGGAGATGCAGATAGTGAGGCGGATTGCCAGAGGATACAGCAAGATATATAGATAGGTTGGAGACCTGGGCGGAGAAATGGCAGATAGAATTTAATCTGAGTAAATGTGAGGTGATGCATTTTGGCAGTTCTAATGCAGGAGGAGACTATACAGTAAATGGCACAACTCTCAGTATCATCAACATGCAGAGGGATCTGGGCATACAGGTTCACAGTTCTCTGAAAGTGGCAAAAGACCACAAGTAGATAAAGTTGTCAGGGCAATGGCATGCTTGCCTTCATCGCTCAGGACATAGAGTATAAAAATTGGCATAGAAAAAATGTTGCAGCTGTACAAAACTTTAATGCAGCCACATTTGGAATATTGTGCACATTCTGGTCACCACACTACCAGAAGGACGTGGAGGCTTTGGAAAGGGTACAGAAATGGTTTACCAGGATGTTGCCTGGAATAGAAGGTATTAGCTGTAAGGACAAGCTTCGTGTGCTTTGACTTCCAAGTCCAAGGATGAGGGGTGCCCTGATAGAAGTTTACAAAATTATGAGAAGCATCAATGGAATGGATAGTTGGAGTCTTTTTCTCAGGGTAGAAATGTTAACTTGGGGACATGGGTCTATGGTAAAAGAGGGTAAATTCAAAGAAGATGTAAGAGGCAGATTTGTTAGAGGGTGGTAAGTGCCTAGAGTATGCTGCCAGAAGAGGTGCAAGAGGAGGATATAATAGCAACATTTAAGAGGCATCTTGACAGGTGCACGAATAGAGGGATATGGACGATGTAGAGGGCAGGGGAGTTTAGATTAGGAAGATGTCACATGCTGGCGCAGTCTTGATGGGCCGAAGGGCCTGTTCCTGTGCTGTACTGTTTTATATCCAGAGGGTGGGGAGCCTGTGGGATTCACTGCCACAAAAAGCAGTCAAGGCCATAACATTGATATATCTGAGACCCTGCTCTTCCCCTAAGCTCTGCTCCCCACCCCTGGGCTCCCCTTCCCCTCCCTCGTTCTTTGTGGAACCTGTAATGAGCCCAGGCTCTATCACAGCAGCACAACCCCAGCAAAAAGTTGAGATCAACTCATGCCTATGCATTAGGCAAAATGAATTCAATTTCTTGAGCTCAGTGTTCCAGCTCCAATGTGAAGTTTCTTGTAGGATTGTGGTTTATTCTCACTCGGGTTAAGATTGCTCAGGTGCATCACTAACACATTACTGGGCAAGTTCAGACAGACCATGTCTTAATGCTGCCCCAAGCACAGGGTCTGGCTGTGACACAGCAGCAAGCCCTGGACTCCTCAAGAGATCCTGAAATCCAAACTAAAATCAACTTGAAAATCCTCCAGCACAGTGACAGAGTCCAGGATTGACTGGGAATGTTCACAAGATGAAGGTTTCATTCCAAATGGAATGTTGGTTGGATGTTACAAGTGACCAGTCTGTAGCAGGGTGTACTGAGACACAAACCGGTCCACCTCGATTCCAGCCAGTGTCTTCATGGCCCTCCAATGGATCTGACCCGTCAGCTCAGGTTTACCCTGTGGGTGTCCCCGCTCTTCCTTGATATACTCCAGCCACAGATCTACAGGAAACAAACAAACAGTCAGACTGTGAAATGAAGGAGCTGACATCTCTCACCCAAAATTACTCCCACCACCCCCCCAACCCCCTTCAATGGCTCACTAGAAATAAGTCACTATAAACATCTTGACAGAGGAGGCAATGGTGTACCGCTATGTCACTACACTAATAATCCAGAGGCATTAATACTCAGGGGCCACAGGTTTGAATCACCCCACAGCAGGTGACGAAATCTGAATTCCACAAAAACAGCTGGAAATTTAAAAAGCTGGTGAGCATAAACCCATCGGATTCACTAGTGTCCTTTAGGGAGGGAAATCTGCCCTCCATACCTGGTCTGGCCTACATGTGACTCCAGACCCACAGCAATGTGGTTGACTCTTTAACTGCCCTCTGAAATGGCCTACCAAGCCTCTCTCTTCAAAGCCTCACGCCTCGAGACTCGAGAAAGGATTTGGTTTCAATCAGTCACTGCAACCACTCTCAGCAATTCTCAATCTCTGGAGCATCCACAATTCATTTCAATGTTTAACCCCGTGCTGCTGCTGCCTACCCCCCGACCCAGGTCCTGGGAGTGTTTGATGGGGACAGTGTAGAGGATGCTTTACTCTGTATCTAACCCCGTGCTGTCCCTGTCCTGTATACTGAAAGTCTGTTCTTTGCTCAGATGTCAACAATGTCGCAATGTTAGTTTCTGACGAACAATCTTATGGATTTCTACCAGCATTTGTAGATCCAAACTCCCGCAGTGCCCGCTCGTAATATTCCCTCAAACGCTCCATTCTGCTGCATTCCTGACAGGGAAAAGACACACCAACGTTACAAATCGTGGCTGAATATTACCACAAACGAAGTAAAGAGTCAGAATATCACTCAAGAAATGGGCAAGTAACCAATTCATCCTGGATTCTCCAGTCAACACTCAGTCCTCACACAAACCATTCGTAATCCAGTCCTAACTGTACATGTTGTGCTCAGGCAGTGTCTGGGACTGTGTCAGAGCTGTACACTGACCACTCAGTCCCTGTAGGTACTCAGACTCTCACTCCCACCAGCCCTTCACATCCCCAGCTCCCACAGATCCACAAACTCACCTGCTGCTTTTCAATCGCAATCATTTTCTTGAAAAACTCTAAAGAAAAGGGCCCATTTTCACAAAGACTGAAACAAAACAGAAAAGAAATGGTGACAGCTCTTTTCCAAAACTTCTCAGCGAGTTGTCAGAATGTACAGCAGTTTGTCCAGCTTCTAAAATAGCAACTTCAAAACTCAACCATTGTGTCTGCTGGCCCAGTTTGTTCAGCTTATATGGTCATTTCCAATCATTTCCCAGTGATTCCCCATAACCTTTTCCCTTCTCAAATCCAACCAAGTCTCCATTAATCGGTGCTAGTCCCTCCTTTAGCCATTCCATGCTTAAACATTAAAAATACTCCCTGATCTGAGAGCCGATTAGAAAAATATTTTCCAAATTTGTGCCGAGTGAGAATTTCCCCTTTATTCACTCATGGGATGGGGGTGTCACTGGCTAGGCTAGTATTTATTGTCCATCCCTAATTGCCTGGAGGGCAGTTAAGAGTCAAACACATTGCTGTGGGACTGGAATCACATGTAAGCCTGACCAGATAAGGATGGCAGTTTCCTTCCCTAAAGGGCATGAGTGAGCCAGATGGGTTTTTACAACAATCGATAATGGATTTATGGTCATTAGATTCTTAATTCCAGATATTTATGGAATTCAAATTCCACCATCTGCCGTGGCGGGATTCGAACCCAGGCCCCCAGGACATTATCTGGGTCTGTGGATTAGTAGTCCAGCGATAATGCCACGACGCCATTGCCTCTCCTGTCTATTTAAAATACTTGTTCAAAAGATGTGGGTGTTGCCAGCTGGGCCAGCATTTACTGCCCGTCTCTAGTTGCCCCTTGAGAAGGTGGTGGTGAGCTGCCTTCTTGAACCCCTGCAGTCCATGTGCTGTGGGTTGACCCACAATGCCCTTATGGAGGGAATTCCAGGATTTTGACCCATTAATGCTGAAGGAACATGCAGGTGGTAGCGTTCCCATGTATCTGCTGCCCTTGTCCTTCTAGATGGAAGTGGTTGTGGGTTTGGAAGGTGCTGTCTGAGGATCTTTGGTGAATTTCTACAGTGCATCTTGTAGATAGTACACACTGCTATTACTGAGCGTCGATGGTGGAGGGAGTGGATGCTTGTGGATGTGGTGCCAGTGAAGCAGCTGCTTTGTCCTGGATGGTGTCGAGCTTCTCGAGTGTCGTTGGGGCTGCACCCATCCAGGCAAGTGGGGAGTATTCCATCACACTCCTGACCTATGCCTTGTAGATGGTGGGACAGTCTCTGGGGAGTCAGGAGGTGAGTTACTCTCCTCAGGATTCACAGACTCTCACCTGTTCTCATAGTCACCGTGTGTATGTGGCGAGTCCAGTTGAATTTCTGGTCAATGGTAACCCCCAGGATGTTGATAGTGGAGGTTTTCAGTGATGGTAACACCATTGATTGTCAAGGGTCCATGGTTAGATTGTCTCTTATTGGAGATGATCATAGCCTGGCATTTGTGCAACACTATTACTTGGCACTTGTCAGTCCAAGCCTGGATATTGTCCAGCTCTTGTTACATTTAAACATGGACTGTTTCAGGAATGGGAAATGGGAACCATGACAGGCCACGCATCCCCGAGCCAGCTCAGCCCTGAACCAAGATCCTGACTCAAATCCAGGCTTCTGAAAACCCTTGCTCCTTATATGGGCCCTTGTGGAAGAGAGGTGCAAATTATCCTGGAACTAACCAGTTTAATTCAAGATGACAAGTATACAGACGCAGCTTGTATTCCCTCGAGTTTAGAAAATTAAAGGGTAGGATCTAATGGAGGTTTAAGGTGAGGAAAGAATAGACATGGTTGAAAGGGAGAAACTACTTTCTCAGGTGTCAGTGCCAGCACGGTTCACTGAAAGCACTCTCTGCTGAGTCACAACGTTCTGGGTTCATTCCCACTGCACAGTCCAGGCAGGCAGCCAAGGTACAGTCCTGTTACTGAGTTTGATGGTCAGCCGCGATCATATTGAATGGCAGAGCAGACTCAAAGTGCTGAATGGCCTACAGGTGCTCTTCTTTTCTATATTTTATAAAGAACAGATGAATTGATCGTTACCACGCTGCTATTTATAGGGTCTTGCTGTGTACATATTTGCTTGATAGAACAGTGACATTTCACAGTATATTTCATAGTGCCTTAGAGTCAGTGAGCCACTTGATGGTGAATAAACTGTGATATAATTAGCCTGTTCACTCTGGGGTGTGAGGTGGAAGCACTTTCTCACACAAGGTGGTACGGAAATCTGCAGCTTCCCACCCCTCAAGAATTGTAGGCTGTGGGGTCAATTAGAACTTTCAAAACTAGAGTTTTCATCAGGTAAATGTATCAAGGATAACTGATATGCCTGCATCATCCACGGCGTACTCTCTATCTCAGCAAATCATTTGTTCAATTCCCAAATACTGAACAGTGGGTCTCTGCTTGTCATTTGAATCAGAATTAAACTGTTTAATTTGTTAATGTGTAGTACAAGCTGCTGAGAGGGAGCCAGGCCTTCAACCTCAGGTGGCTCCATACTATAAGGAAACATGGTGAATGCCTACATACCTATTGAAGACTTTCCTTGCTCTCTTGTAGCCTCTGGCTTTAAGGGCCCAGTCAAGATATCTCTCTTTCACAGTGACAGAGACAGCTGCAATTGGTGTCTGCAGTGCACGCTGTCAACAGATAAAAGATAGTTAAACTCTCACCTTCATACAAGCCAGTGGACAGAGATTTGCTCAGACTGGAACCTACCTGATAGACAGATTCAGTCTCATTAACACTGCTCGTACTTTCACTCCAATCCAAACAGAGAAGCCACAGGGGCAAAGCTTCCTGCAAGAGAGGAGGGAGATAGTGAGCAAAGGCCGTGTCAAACTGGCAAGGATTAAAGGCATCGCCAGTGAAGCTGCAGGAAGAGAACAGGGAATGACGCACACAAACTACAATTAGGACAAAGCACAATGACAGAGCGGAGAGAAGACAAGAAACCAGTGGCATTGTATTAAAAAAAAGGGACAAACACAAACAAAACAGCCCTGAGAAATGGAGGTACAAGGAAGCAGAGGGGAGTGGGAGGGGCATGGGGAGTACCAAGAGTGGGAACGTGTGGGGAGCACGGAGAGCAGGCATCCATGGACTGAATGGCCTTATGTACTTTGTCATTTCATAATGAAAGCCCATTCAGAGCTTTGGAGCAGATTCAGGAGCAGGGGGTAGGATGGAGAAAACACTGGTTTGATTTTGTTACTTAGGCCACTGGTCACTGGCTGTGAGCAGTTTGAATGGGAGGAGAACAGTGAATGCTGTTCCCAACACATGGTTATAGGCAGAGCCCAAACTCTAATGAAACAGCTCAGACACAGGCTGTCAGGGAATGCTGCCCCCAGTCTCTCAATGTACTTTCCAGAATGTTCTCCCATGGCCTTAAGTTCAAGTCAGTAAACTCAATGAAAATCCTGAATAATAATTGTGCTCCTGTGCTTTCGGTGACTCATCCCTCAGTCTATTGTTTAAAATTGCTTTCTCGAGAGGCTGACAATTTTCACTCTCCCAGCTCCCCCGGCACGGTCCTATTTACAAGGGAAAAGGTGCTGAAAATAGGACTGGACATGGCCTTACTCC